CATACGATATTGCTGAAATTTTTTTCAAAACTTCTTTTTAGGGTGAAGAAACAGTGGAAGTAATTTCAGCCAAGATACTCCAAAAGTTTAGATTCAAAAAAATTTTTTTCTCAGGAGAATATTTTTTTTTTGTTTAAAACGCTGTATCTCATCTCCTAGACATACGAAATTGCTGAAATTTTCTTTAAAACTTCTTTTTAGGGTGAAAAAACAGTGCAAGTAATTTCAGCCAAGATACTCTAATAGTTTTGTTGTAAAAAAATATTTTCTCGGGAGAATATTTTTTGTTTATAAAAAGCTGTATCTCATCTCCTAGACATACGATATTGCTGAAATTTTCTTCAAAACTTCTTTTTAGGGTGAAGAAATAGTGGAAGTTATTTCAGCCAAGATACTCTAAAAGTTTAGATTCAAAAAAATTTTTTTCTCAGGAGAATATTTTTTTTTTGTTTAAAACGCTGTATCTCATCTCCTAGACATACCAAATTGCTGAAATTTTCTTCAAAACTTCTTTTTAGGGTGAAAAAACAGTGCAAGTAATTTCAGCCAAGATACTCTAATAGTTTTGTTGTAAAAAAATATTTTCTCGGGAGAATATTTTTTGTTTATAAAAAGCTGTATCTCATCTCCTAGACATACGATATTGCTGAGATTTTCCTCAAAACTTCTTTTTAGGGTGAGAAATAGTGGAAGTAAATTCAGCCAAGATACTCTAATAGTTTAGTTGTAAAAAAATATTTTCTCTGGAGAATATTTTTTTGTTTAAAAAGCTGTATCTCATCTCCTAGACATACGATATTGCTGAAATTTTCTTCAAAACTTCTTTTTAGGGTGAAGAAATAGTGGAAGTAAATTCAGCCAAGATACTCTAATAGTTTAGTTGTAAAAAAATATTTTCTCGGGAGAATATTTATTTTTTGTTTAAAAACCTGTATCTCATCTCCTAGACATACGATATTGCTGAAATTTTCCTCAAAACTTCTTTTTAGGGTGAAGAAATAGTGGAAGTAATTTCAGCCAAGATACTCTAATAGTTTAGTTGTAAAAAAATATTTTCTCTCAGGAGAAAGATTATTTATTTTTAAAAAAAGCTGTATCTCATCTCCTACACATACGAAATTGCTGAAATTTTCCCCAGAACTTCTTTTTAGGGTGAAGAAATAGTGGGTGTAATGTCAGCCAAGATACTCTAATAGTTTAGTTGAAAAAAAAAATTTTGTCTCAAGAGAATGTCGGCTGCTAGTTTCAGTTTCAACAATTTATTAAAATTATATTTTTAGGAGAGGAGATAAAGGTACCTAAACTTGTCACGTTAATTTTTAATATTATTTGTAATTTTGCAACGAAAAATTCTAATTTTTAAAAAATATAGGGCCCGGACCCTATCTTCTATGTTTCGTCCATGTCGGCTGCTAGCTGGTGGCTGCTAGTTTCAGTTTGATCGACTTGTATATAACTATGTAATAAAATCTTAGAATCGGAATTACACGCACTTCTAATTCTTGTATCATCATGAAACTTGGCAATTGTATGTAGATGTAGATTAGATGACAATACAATATTATGGTACCATCGAGCTGGTCTGATGATGGGACTGGAAGGTGGCTGATGGAACCTTGCGACTGCCTACTAGTAAACATATCGAGTTTGGGCTCATTAGATTCATTTATCTTGATGACTGAAACTAAAGAGTTAAATAAATTAATAGTTAAAAAAAAACTGAAAACACGCTTTTATTTACTGCACTAAAAAGCTATAAACAAACAAAATATACTCTCTGTTTACTTCATTAGGGCCTTAGAGTTAGCCATGTTTATAGTTTATTTTAACATATTTATATATAATTGAAAAAGCGCGGGGTGCTTCATTATAAAATTTTTACTGAATTGTTAAGCATTATTAATCGCATAATATCTCTTATCTATTAGACAAGTCTGTCTGTCTGTGGTGCTGTTTCAGCGGCCAAACCGTAAGAGATAGATAAAGAGAATATTTAAGTTATAAGTTAAGAATAGTCTGATATGACTACAAACCGGATTTGAGTAACGTAGCACTTCCGGTTTTCGAGAAATCAGGTGAACATTTGGTTCACTGGTTTGCTAGTATTAATTGCTTTGATAAATATTGCAATGAATAGCGCCCCACCCTTTTTCTGTTATATATGTATGTTAAAATAAACTATAAACATGGCTAACTCTAAGGTCCTAATGAAGTAAACAGAGAGTATATTTTATTTATTTTTGGCTTTTTAGTGCAGTAAAAAAAAGTGTGTTCTTAGTTTTTTTTAACTACTTTTGGTAATCTCACTGACATACTAAATAGAATTTCGTTTAATTAACCCCATCATCACCATGAAGCAGATACTAGCAGACTCATCCAGTAGCGAGAATGTCACAAAACATATTTCTGGCAATTGTTTTCGTTTTTCTTATTGATTTTAAAGAAAAGGTGAGTAATCAAGTTGTTTTCACGCGGATACCTAACGCTAGTTTCAAGTATACCTAAGGTGAAATTTGCGGCAAAAGGAGATTTAAGTTATTTTTTTTATGTCAAAACAGTTTTAGGTACCCGCCTGAAAACAATTCGATTACTTTTCTTTACTTTTAAATAAATAAGAAAAACCAAAACAGTGGGTAGTAATACGTTTAAATGGCAAGAGCATAAATTCACTTGAAAATCACTTAAATAGATTTTTTTCGCATATATCACCTTGCCGAAACTCAATAATAGCGTAAAGTGCCCTCGTGAAAACAAAGAACTACTTTCCTTTACTTTTAAATAAATAAGAAAAACCAAAACAGTTCCCAAAAATAAGTTTTGGGACATTCGGCTGCTGGATGAGTCTGCTACAATGTCTGCTAGTTTCAGCTTAATGTTATTTATCATCTAATTCTAATTAATTCATCGCTCCTATTCGATCTCGATACTCTTCAAATGTCCAGAAGTTCGTGCTACTGATTTTTAAAACTTGTTACGGCCCTTGTGGCGTTGTCAAGTTTCCATTAAAAATATCTCGATGATGATTCGCAATCGCAAACCTATCGAATTCGACATTGGTTCGTGCTTATAGAGTACTGTAAGTCATTGTGTCAGAGCTAATGCACTGGACGACCTAGGTTCACGAGAAAAATAGCCGAGAGCTGTATGCATGCAATATCCAATACCTAATATTGTTGGGTCAGACTCAGCGTTGCCAGAATAATCTTCGGAAACCGCGATACTTACTTCGAAACAAATTAATCAGCAAAGTTTTTCTATTACCTTACATATAAAAAAAAAGCTAATAAATATGTACAATATTAGATTAGATTTCTTCAGTGTTGGCTCCCTCGGAATTTGGCTTATATCTGGCATATGTATCCAAAATTTCTTGTCTAGGTTTGTCCGGTGTACGTACAATATTAAGTTGACGCGACCTATGTAGATCAGTTTTCTTTTTGAAAAGCGGAACAGAGCTTTTCCAATAGGGGACATTGAATTTTGGGCTCAAAATTGAGACGCTAGTGAAGGTAGACTTGGCAGTACACATTGTTCTCTGGGTAATCTTCAGCTTGGCTCAATATGACGCGCCGGTGTGGGCTAATGCGCTTACAAAGAGATATTTGTTTGTTGGTTGTTGAGTAGTGGCTGAGCTAACAGTGCTCTCGTGCTGGATAATCTGCTGGTATTTGCGTATCGCCAAATGGGAACTGGGGAAGCCAAACGGCTGATGAAGCTAAGGGTGACGTCTGACACTTGAAGAAGCAAAGCTGAAGACGCGACATTTCCAAGAATCTCCTGGTAGCATGATTTCGGATGCTACGTCTATCGGGATTGCGAACGTTGAGAGTCAATACTATTGACTCAATAGAACATATCTTAGATACTGAAGCGTAGTGCTAAGGTCGTAGAAGACATATCAACTCGGAAAGAAATCGTCACCGTATCAACTCGAGCCGTTCAGAATTCTTTTTAAGAAACTCCCTACTGCAACGCACACTAATCGGAATCGTAACGTAATCGCCACGCCTCAGGACCCAAGCTGGTCCGGAACACTATCGGTTAATTTATACAGGTTGTTTACCTATCTCTATTCTCTGTGCAAATAGATCTATTTATATATTGGATTAATATCATCTATGTCCAAAATGCGTTAGTCGTGACCAAATAAAATATATTTCTATAGGAGCCCATCCTTCTATTGTGTAGTCTAGTCAGTCCATCCATCCATTACCATCATAATCTTTGAAACATTCTACTTATATATGTATTAGTACATGTGTTCTATCCGTTACCCTAGCATCCCATAAAGCAAGCCTTACAATGCTTACTTTGGGGCTAGGCTAATTGGTGTGAGTGTGGGATATATTTATTTACTTATTCTATAGGATTCACTGACACCGCACTGCTGTCAGTTTTCTATCAAAGCAAGTTCTAAGGAGTTTTCCAAATTCACTGAATCTATTCAATTGTAGATAGGAGTCAACATGTTGCTATATAATAACCTTATCTATAGTTGACCAGGCCAATTGACAAGACCAACCTGACCAATCAGCACTGGGCCCTCGTGGTGGGTCATGTCATGGCTCAATCTCCCTATTCCATTCATAGGGAAGACATGTGCCCCAGCAGTGGGGACACTAATAGGCTTATGATGATGATAGTTGACTAGACCAGTACCAGGAGTGCGAGGAGTTTCATTTGCGTGTTGCCGACATTCCAATTTAAAGCACGGAGCGGATGTCCGCTCAGTTTTTATGTCATTTTACAGAACAGCGGTGCACGGGAGACCACCCTCGTGTAGCGCTACTCTATGAAATAACATGAAGCAAACACGTGGAGCGAACTTCCGCTTTATGCTCCCGCTTAACGCAGCGCGGGCTCTAATAAGTTTCTACAGATTTTTTTACACGTTGGTCTTGTCACATTATGCATGTACCAACATGTGACAAGACCAGCACTCTTTGTTCCTTCAATCTGTTCACAATATTGGCTTAATGATCTATTTTCTCTAATTACAGGTAAAAAGCGCAAATTTTTCGAAGGCTCCAGGGAGTTGTGCGTATGGGGTGACAGCGCGAAACCCGCGAAGCTATCCAAGATATGGCCGGTATTCGACTCCGGCGGGTTCGGAGACGCCGTTATGCTGACGCTGGAAGTTTCGAACAAGGCTCGATCTCTCAACCCCCTATTACACAACACACAGCAGTTCTCACTCAACGACCCGCTCCTGTCAGACTGGTTTGGTGGAATCAATCTATCCTGGAGACAGTCGCAACTAGGCAGCGAATATCCAGATGATGACATCACCAAAAGAATATTTTCCTCGGTGTCGAAACAACTGCGCATCATAAACACCCATTTTCAGAGGGCCATGTTTAAGTATAAGTACCCGAGAGTGACGAGATCCAATGTGCTTCTGGACAATTCTAGCGCATGGCGCTTGGGCACTAACTTCAGTGTAGCGCTGAAAGCGATTAGGTTTCAGTCTACCCCGAGAAGGGAACTTCCCTGCTATGGTAACCTGGAGTTACCTTTCAAGATCAAACAGGAATCATCGGTGTCTCCACAAATCTATGCGTCGATAGGTCGTAGTGTTAAAACTGAAACTGATAAACTGCAGGAAGTAAAAGTTAAAGTGGAAAGTGATAAAGTGAAAGTGGAAAGAGACAGGGAGAAGGAGAAAGAGAGGGAGAGGGAAAGGTGAGTTTAATACTTTGCCTTTTTTATGTAATAGGCGTGGCAAATATGCTTATGGTTCGCCTGATGGTAAGTGACGTCATCTTGTCTTTTCTTTGCAGACCTTTGCGATATCTTTCAGTATCATTCGCGCGTTACCTATTCAAACCTCATCCCCAACTGTGGAGCCCTGGAACCTTACTATACTTGCAGAAACACAATACCACCCACAGGCGTTGTTATTTCACTGCTTGGTCTTTTGTAAAAATGGAGGTTACTTTCCTACGACCGGAAATTCCGCTATGTTGACCTACCTCTTTAAACTTTTGGCCAGAACTTCCCTTTATTGTAAAATGTAAAAATACATATTGTTTTACATAGATTTTCAATTGTTGGCTTCTTGTCTATAGCTTTTTGAATAAATACCAATCAGCAATAGGTATAAACCTCATGATAGAAAGATCCAAAACAGAAGCTCCACTGAATACAGTAACAGACTTTGCCATAATTTTCATATAAATAAAGGCACTGTTTTATAAGACAGTTGGTGCATGAAGCACATATTGTAGGGTATTATTGACATCAAGCTGCATTTAATAACTGAGGATGCAGTTGGATAACATTTTCTTTAATGGTCTGATCTTACAATGAGTAAGCAGACGTCTCTGCGGAGAGCAGATATCTTAACTTGTTGATTGTCGTTACCTGAGTTGTCTTTGTCCACCATACTAATGCTGCGTAGCTGATTATGGGCCTTATTATAGTCATATATAGCCACCTAACAATGTGCGGTGATAGCCCCCATGACTTACTAATCATTTTGTGGCACTGCCAGAAAATGATGTTGGTCTAAGTGTGGTCACTAGTTAAGTTTGGAGTCTAGCGGCCAGGGGGCCGTTCGCCTAATGGAAATGCTTTGGAAAACGCTAACGCTTACTATTTCATTTTGTTATTTCTCTAGCCGCGTGAGGTTTTCAAATGCCTCGCACTTTTTTTTTCTTTTGCATATAAAATAACAATATTAAAAAATATGAGCGTGAGGTATTTAAAGAACCTTCGGCGGTCAGAAATAACAAAATAAAATCGAAAGCGTTAGCGGTTTCCATAGCATTTTCGTTAGGCGAATGGCCCTAAAATGGCAAAGACCTGGCTTTGCCGAACCGTAATAAGTCGTCCTTCATTACAACAACCCAGCAACGCCTTGATTTTCAGTTATCACTCTCTGTGCACAGGTAATGTCTTCTTACGAACTATCACTTGTAGGTGCGTGGCCATACCTAAGAGCCTCCGCTGCCTTAAGCGGGAGCACCTATCCACTAGTATAATTTCGATAGTCTGTAATAGATTATTTTTGTTGATAAAACTACCTAGTCAATAGACGAAGCAGAGAAGAGCACAGAAGATAGCCAATCGAGCGCCCGACGGCAGCGGAGGCTCTAACAGATCGTCACGACCATACCCTCACTCGAGGAACCTTAGTGCTTTAGAGTGCGTGTCATGTGATCAGTCTTGTCTGAGGAGTATTGTCTGTGGTTTTAGTGGGTAGGGCCCCTGCACATTTTGCCGAGCCCTGAGCTAGATGAAATGAGCAGGGTGCAGTCCTCACATAGCCTTGTTGCAAAACTCGCCGAGTAAGGCGCCACGCCCAGAGCCCTCTTTCCCAGTGGGCACTTTGGGCAAGTGCCCAGGGCCCCGCGATCGATAGGGCCCCCCCTCAGATCAAATATTTATTACCAAAAAACTTATATAATTCGACGAAATTGAACCTAAATTACTGATTAAAATACCAAATTACTAGCTTTTACATAAGCGAAGCTATTCTACTCTCGCCCAAAAATTAGGCTTTCCGACTTCAGCATGCTTAGATAAATTTAAATCTCTTATCTATTAGACAAGTCCATCTGTCTGTGGTGCTCTTTCAGCGGCCAAACCGTAAGAGATAGATAAAGAGAATATTTAAGTTATAAGTTAAGAATAGTCTGATAAGACTACAAACCGGATTTGAGTAACGTAGCACTTCCGGTTTTCGAGAAATCAGGTTTTGGTGAACATTTGGTTCACTGGTTTGCTAGTATACATATAATGGTATACTAAGCACATACACATTTTAAAGAAAAATCATCAGTAGTACACTCATGAGTATGACTCGCTCCATTTCAAGTCATAATCCACATCAAAGTCATAGGGGCCCCAATATCCCAATATGCCCAGGGCCTCCAATAGGTTAAAGACGGCCCTGACCACGCCTGTCCCTTACACAAATAAAGCATGGTCCACTGCTGGGTAGGATATCTCGTGCTTGAACATGGGTAACAGTGTGCAAGCTACGCAAAACGAGCATGCAAGCATCTGATTTTGTGGGTAGTTATGTTTTTGTGTATTCTTCTCGCCTTCCTTGCGTGTTCAGCTCGCAAGCGACGCGATCCGGAATTGAGGATAGTCCATATAAACAATACTAACCGGGCGCGGCATATAAGTACATCTTTTATAGAGGAAACCTGCCAATTGCGTGTTACTTCGATGCGTCGCAATGAGGGTGTTCAGGAAAATTTACGTCACCAGTTAGCGCCACTGTGACGCGACGTCTTTTGTATGAAGTTTTTGGCGCGAATCAACCGAACGAGCGTTTAAATTGATCCATAGACTATGTAGATATGGCGGTGATTTGACGGATGAGTAGACTTTTCGACTCGGTGCTACCACCTGGCGCCAGTCATTCCAGAAAACCCTCATTGGCGGTCCTTTCAACCCATCCATCTTGTTGACTGGTAAAACATTCACGTTCTTAAATTCGGTCGGTAACGGTCTTCTTTTGATCTAACTCAACTAACTCCCTTTCTTCTCTTGCATACTCTTGCTTCCTTCCAGTATTTCTCACATCTGTCCTCTACTCATTTTCTGCCCCGTCTTTCTGTCCCTGACCGAATACCGGATTCAGATTTTAATAACACCCGTCGCGTGTCGCGACTAAATCTTGTTGGAAACTGGCTGATGTGAATACCTGTATACATTAACTGCCACTTTCAATAATAAAACTCCAATGTATACTTATCTAATAAAGCTAAACAGTTTGTCTGTTTGTTTGATTGTTCGTTTGGTTGAATTACTAATCTCAGGAAATCCGAATTTGAAAAAGTCTTTATTTTGGATAGTGTGTGTTTACAACTAATAGGAGCGGATAATTATATTCACCGATGATAAATATCGCAAAAACAAGAAACTATATTTCATAAACGGTAAAAGTTACACAAAATCATGTATGACGGAATTGTCCTTCTTTCGGAAAAAGTTTTATGAAAAAGGCAGTGACAGCATATGCCTAGCGTTTAAAGGTGTTCTTGCCGGTTCTTCTCAGTACAAGCTCTCCCGCCGTAGGTTTTTCGAACCGATGGCGTGAGACCTTGTACTGAGAGCCGCCAGTGCTCAATGCACGCGTATTGGAAAAGAAAACGCTAAGCTCATTACAGAGGGCGCTTTAGTCGTTTGGCCCATAACAAGCAACCTGTCGCTTCAAGGCTGCGTTCCAAACCTATGCTCTGAGTGCAACTTTCTACCCTGACATTTTAATTTTGATATAAAATCTGTTAAGCTTATGGTGTAGTATTTATTTCCTAGGTTTTCACGCACATCACTCATTAAAGAAAACTTGTTTTAACGGTTAATGCACGAAACTTTATTTATTCAGTTTTATGTTATGGTGTCTAAAACAAGTTTTATCTTATGGTGTGGGTTTGGAATGCAGCCCAAGTCGATCGCAATTTCTCGGATTTCCTTGTAACTTTAACAGCTGTCTAGATTAGTTGTTATGGGCCATTCGACACCTGCGCCTCTGGCGGGACAAATGGACAATTTTCATCGTGCGTGTACTTATGTTAGATTTGTATGTATGTATTCCTCTTGTCATAGATCGTCTCATTCATCGCGGCACTCATCGTCGTCGTCATCTTGCCATCATTGCCGTCGACGGGCTCGCATCAAGCGGTGCTCTATCGGGGTCCAGTGCCGACGAGACAGGCCCGGACTGCCTAGTGCTGATACTTGGGGACCCCTTGCAGACACAGTGGCGGTTAAGGAACTGAAATACCATAGGTGAGATATTGTCATTATAAAGATTAAACAGAGCAAGAGCTAGATGTCGCTATGGATGGGACGAGTTCCTCCTTGCTTCGGAAGGTAGGTGGTAAAGTACCATCCGCACTGGACCCGCGTGGTGGGTTATGGCCCATTCTCCCTATGCCATACACAGGGAAGGTCTATGCCCAAGCAGTGGGGTCATTAATAAGCTGATGTTGAAGAAAGATAAAAAAGGCGTTCCATCGGGGTCCAGTGTCGTAGGGACCTCTTGCAGACACTGTAGCGGTTTAAGAACTTGAATACTATAGGTGAGATATATAAAGATAAAATGGACAGTGAGAAAGGAGCTAGATGGCGCTAGTGTTTATCGCGATCATGGAAATAGCAACAGTCTCAAAGGCCCGCCATGGGACGGGTAACTAAAAACTGATTACCTCGAGCTCCTCTGTGTTTCGGAAGGTACGTTAGACCTTAGATCCTGGCTGCATCTTCAGTCGTTGGCCACAAAGAGGCCATAACGCTACGGGCGTTACAGTACCCTACCAATCCCCACTAGGCCCGTGTGGTGGGTCATGGCTTACTCTCCCTATGCCAATCATTTGAAAGGCCTGTGTCCCATAATTTGTGTTTTTACTTTAATTTTCATGTATTGTATTTCTAGTGAATGAGCGTGTTCCAATGGTCTGCGTCGCCTATGCACAGGACACAATTTTGTTTATTCTTTTCTTTTAAGAGCCCTTTTACAAAATTGCGCCGCTGCCGTACTGATCGGCGTGTAGGTAGATTTGCACTAGTATATATTGCAATTTAAGGGTGATGTTTCGAGTCTTATAAAATAATTATTAATGAACTAATTATAAAAATATATATATATTTCAGTAGTTCCATGATGGTAGATTAGTTTTATGAAAGTTTTTGATAGTAATTCTATTTAATTCAATTTCAAAATACGAGGTAAACCTGCATTACTTTTTGGGAAAACTCACGGAGGTTAGATGTTTTTGGAAAATCAAAATTCTAATATGTTACAACAAAATCATATTTCTGATGTCGTAGTAATTAATTTGATCTAGTTTATTGAACATTATTGAGAGATTAAGGCGTTTGAAGTTGTGCATATTATAGTTTTTTCCGTAAACTAGCTGCGGTAGAACGATCAGTACAAAAAGGAAAATAGTATTTGCAAATATTCTACATTAACTTACAATAGGAAGAATAAATTTACTGTTAACTTCTTTTGGAAATAGTCAATGTCCTTTTTAAGGGGCCAAACGAGGCGCTCAAAAATTACATTTTTTTTGCAAATATGTGAAAGGGCTCTTAAGCAAGACGCATGTGAGGCGTACGTGGTTCTACTCAGATAAATGAAATTTAAGATTTATCTGTATGTCATTCATAAGGCATTGTCCTAATACAACGCGATAACGCGATCATCGCGCGTTTAAACGACGCGACCATCGCGTGATCGCGAACTGGGTGTCCTAATAGAACGCGAATACGGAACGGGTTAGCCCTGCCCCTCTCCCCGCTTCCTATCGACGCGACGCGATCATCGCGCGAACTTCAGTTAGGACACCTATTCATCATTAATAGGTTTGATTGCGCGTTCGCGCGAATAGATTTTTAAACATTTTAGTCGCGCGAATGCATCGCGCGATCGCCTATTAGGACACCTATTCTAGATCAATATGTTTGATCGTTGACTCGTACGATGATCGCATCGCTCATTCGCGTTATCGCGTTGTATTAAGACAATGCCTAAGACTTTATTTTTTGCAACAATTTTGAAACCATCAGAAGGCCTGATAATAAAGATTTTTTAACTAAAATATTCATTTCGGTCTAGGTATAAGCTTGAAATTTCTTCTGATAATTGAGTCAAATGCTTAATTAAATATATTATAAAATTCTGTTATTCGTCGCCAGGCTAATGAGAGTGGAGACACATCCCAACGGCGGTGCGAGCGTAGTATATCTTCATCAGAGGGACGTCGACATGCTCAACCAGCACCAACAGGAGTGTCTCGCCAAGGAGTTCCTCAAGGTACGTCGATCGGACCGATACATACTAGACAAAATTAAACAAGAAAATGTTGTTGCATTTAGTCTGCGATATGGCATGTTTAATATATTTATACGTGGAAAGGTTCTTTGTGATTCATTATTGTAGAGGTCGAAAACCATATTCGCTTAGGTGTAAGTACGATCCAAACTTAGGCCGTATACAGAAAGAAAGCCGATCGGCGCTTATCGGCGCCTATTGGCGCTGATCCTTTTTCTATGGACCGGCGCCGATAAGCGCCGACACGCGCTGGTCCGAATAATAAATAATTTGTATTTGAATTATTATCCTTAGATTAATTAAATCAATCTAAGTTATAATCTTTTTATAAATCTAATAACTTTATCTTTTATTAACTAAGCGCTAAAATTATTTGTTTCGTACTTACCGAATGGTGACAACAAGTCTTTCTTCTGGAAGGATTGGTTGTTTATGCCAATTGCCCCAATTTTTCATCAAACGGTTTTTCACTAAATCCAAAATGTAATAAAATGTTTCTTGAATCATTCTTGTATATGTATAAAATCTTTGTTCATCAAATTTAATTTTTTTTACAAATAAATGATGGTATTCTCCGAAGCGTTTCCTTTCTCTATTTATAGGATGTATGCTGTTTTTCGCATTTTTAAATAAACATTTTCTAACAAAACCAAATCATCGTCCGATGAGTCCGACATTTTGCTTGATCTGCTTTAATCGGCTTCCTTTATGTAGGAAGGATCGGCGCCGCAAGGCGCCGATAAGCGCCGATCGGCTTTCGGCTTTCTTTCTGTATACGGCCTTATAGTAGAGCCCAAGCAGCGATTTGGACGCGACAAAAGTTCATATCTGATGACAATTTTTTTTGCTGCCCACGTTCGGTTCTGCTTAAAGGACTTGACTTCATATTCCTCATGCCTTTTACTTGATTCAGTGGTGAGCAATCTGATTTGACGGACAATAAAAGTCCGCGGTCTAAAGTCTCTCGTCTGCGTAGCATAGGCCATTATCAGCCTATGTTTTCTTCACAGTTGATTAAGGAACATGCAGTCAATTCTCGACATCGTTAACTTTTTTACTGCGCCGTCGTTTAGTTTGAATAGCACTTTAGACACTTTGAAAAAAAAAACTTTAATATACAGTGTAAACTCTATGTAACGTCACTCGATTTAACGACAAACTCCCTAAAGCGTTGAAATAACTCGTCTTTGGTTGGTTTAGTTTGTTTTCCATACAATGATACACTCCATATAGCATTACACCCACTCTCAATAACGACAACAATTAAGTAATAAAAAGTACCTTTTAAGTTGCCAAAATTAGTGAAAATCGCGCAGCTGTGTACGTTCTTTTGTCGCTTTATTATCCTAGCCCGTAATAAACTCGACTGCCGGCATCATGCAAACCAAATTTTCTTTTAAAGTTTACAAATTGGGATTTGCACGTGTAGACTGTTGTTTGACCATGGCTAAAAAAATATAATACAACAAAATTACTTGTGCAGCAAAAGACATCAGACAAAAATAACAGAATATACGCAATAGCGTTCAGATAAGATTTTTTTTATGTATATAACTACTCGCTTGAAATAAAGTTTTTCATTTCATTATATTTCTTTTTTCTATTAAACGACAACTCTATAACGCCAGAAAATGTACAGTCTCTTTAGTGTCGTTATATAGAGTTTACGCTGTATTTGAAATAGAGGTATTACGACGATATTATTGTGAAAAAAATACAGACATCTATTTCAAATATATGGAAACAATAATAAAGTGTCTTAGAGTTGAAAAAATAAGCAAAAATGTGCTTATTTTTTCTCTCAGAAAAGTTATTATAATTATTATTAAGTAAGTTATCACATTTTTTTGTTGTTTTCATATATTTTAAATACGGAAACAAAAAATAACATTAAGCTTTATTATTTAAATTAAAATAAATGTATTGACCAACAGGACAGCATAACGCTGCCGTGACATATCACAGCAATGATGGCATTCTGGTAGGGCTTGTATGGTGCGTGGTATAAATAAATATATCTTTATATATATAATTCTTCTGTGAGTGTGTATGTCACTGAACTTCTCTTAAACGACTGGACCGATTTTGATGAAATTTTTTGTGTGTGTTCAAGGGGATCTGAGAATGGTTTAGATTCACAATTTTGTCCGCTGGACAACCCCTATTTTTTTAGGGCGGTACGAAGTTCGCTGGGTCAGCTAGTATATATATATAAATACATACATGAACAACAAATAATCAGATAAGTATACAGGGTTAATTTTAAAACACCAACAACCTCTTAGGGGGTGATTCTACCCATCAACAGGAACAACTTTTATTATGGGACCAACGCTGAAATCGCGAGAAAAATCTGCTGTTTCATACAAAAGTGCATTAGCTAATCGACCGAAATGTATGAAACAGCAGATTTTTTTTTTCGCGATATCCGAGTTTTTTCCATAATAAAAGTTGTTCCTGTTGATGGGTAGAACGTGGGTAGAACCACCCCCTAAGAGGTTGTTGGTGTTTTAAAATAAACCCTGTTAATACTTTTAGAAAACACAAAAAAGGAATGTTCCCCAGTGTCGTTTGCCTTGCTTGACACTAACTTAAAATAAGAAATATAGGTATCTAATCTTATGTAACAATCTAATAATTTCCCTTAGCTCGTGTTCTCCGAAGACAGTGATGGGTGGGCACATTTCGTCTGCGGCGTAGTCCGAGGGGCCGCAGCATCCCTCCCCTGTCTTCTTCAATATTTAGCAGAAGAACATCCCAACCTCACAGTGAAGGCTGGAGTCTTGGCCAGGGCTTCGGACATCGAGACCACTACGGTCAGCAGATATTACCAGCAGGTGAGTTGGAGAAGTATATTTCTTAAGGTCTACTGCTGCAAATTCACAAACTCTGGCTGAGGCAACTCAGACCAAAGACTTAGATGATGACCATTGAAGATCTGTGAGCCGATGATGATTCCGTCTCTTAGCCCTTAGCTGTTAAGGTATAACCTTCTCCAAGAGTAATTGATACGTCGACCCCCTAAAATCTGCCTTCACTGATGAGCTTTCCAAAATCTGAAGACCAAAGCTTTGTCTTTGTTGATGATCTCCCAATATCTTTCATCATCATCAGCCTATTAATGTCCCCACTGCTGGGGCACAGGCCTTCCCTATGGATGGAATAGGGCCATGACCCACCACGCGGGCCCAGTGCGGATTGGTGGGTGCTAACGACTGCAGATGCAGCCGGGACCAACGGCTTAACGTGCCTTCCGAAGCACGGAGGAACTCGAGATAGTAAATTTTTTGGTCACCCATCCAATTACTGACCACTGCGAAAGTTGCTTAACTTCAACGATCGCAGCCGAACGCGCTAACCACTTGCGCCATCGAGCTCCTCCTCCAAGATCTTTACAAAGGTTAATCCTTACTTCCTATGTCTTTGTAGATTATTTCCCCAGATCTTTGGCCAGTCAGCAAGTATTACTAGCAAACAAGTTAGTTGATTATTGCATCAGATGATAGGTGCCATAGCGAGTTAAAGAATAGAACATCCCAACCCGGTGTAGGCTGGAGTCTTAGACAGGGCTTCGGACATTGGGACCATGCTGATGGAGTCGCGAACACCCTATTGAACCAAAAAGCACAGAGATTAAACATTTCTAGTTTCTATAAATCATGAATGAACATTTACGCACGCACACACATCTTTACACATACTCACAAGTTAATATTTATATTTATGTTAAATTATTAGTAAGAGGTACCATTATCCACCTGATCCAGAGTCGGAGAGGCTGGTTATCTGTCATACAGGTTCTCCTAGTGCAGAAGCCAGTCTCTTACATAGAGTTATAAGTTAGGTATCTAAATTGTGAATTTGCTTATACCTTACTTTTCACCATTATGTAATTCTATGTGAGAGAACAAATAAAGTATTTTCTATTCTATTTCTATTTATTTTGTTCCCGATCTCAGGTGCAACAATCGTATGCAGCTGGCACCTTCCGTTCGGGGCCATTGCACCAGATCTCCCTGGTGGGCACCGTCCACGAGGAGGTGGGCGGCTACTTCCCCGATATGCTGAAGCTACTCGGCAACTGCCCGTTCCTCAACTTGGTGAGTAACAATCTCTGAAAGATGGCAACGTACTGCACAGTCAGACATTGAACGGCTAAGTCCATTCACAGAATAGGGTATTTGACAAGTTTTAGAAAACGATCTCACGTTATTGACTAATGTTTATGGAGTCCGTAAAAAGTGGATATTCATCATTCTGTTGTGTATTTCAGTAAAAATATCCAAATCAAAAACTCACTTTCAAGTTGCCGCGAAAACGTTTTTCTGGACAATATGGCGTCTTACTAGTGTGTGACGTCACACGACTGTTATTAAAACGTCGAACGATACAATGTAATGTCACTTTGACCGGAAGTTTACTTGCGTGTGACGTCATTTTAGGTTCCGCCAATCCCAAGCGTTTTGGGTCACGTGACAAAAGATAAGAAAACTATTATCTTTTTCGTTTGTTTTTTTATTGTTTTTGTAAAAATAGTAAAAAACCCTGCCAATATTCATTCTAAACACAGATGCTAACAATTGGCACTTTATTTTTAATACTGTCAAATACCCTATCCGCTTAAGTTACAATTATTTGACAAGCAAACGCGCTACATGTGTACATTTATAAAACAGTATCGCGGATATTTTGTGATGAAAATAATATTAAACATTGCCTTCGATGCTTTTGAAAATAGCACAAATACGCAAAAAGCAACTTTTCTGACTTTGGATAATAAATAGCTATTTTTTACCCTTGTTTCTCAAGACGATGCCGTGGGGTCCGATGTCTGCAGTGGAAATGGAACCCCAGGAGTCCAACGACGGACCCATCCTATGGATCCGGCCAGGCGAGCAATTGGTGCCAACTGCAGAGTTAGGAAAGAGCCCCATTAAGAAGAGAAGGTAATAGAAGATGAAAATGAAAAACTAAACGAGTGTGCTTATGACCACACGACTGAAGTGAAACTTCTTTGGCTCTATCTGTATACTATATATGTGTATACAATATATACGTGTATGTACATATACACATTTCATTTACTAGCTATAAGAGAAAGAGAGAAAGAAAATGTGCGCGCGCACTGCTTTCTCTTGCTTATATCCTCCACTCGACTTCCGTTCGCCTCGCCCGAACACACTTTTCGTAACGAGTAACGCATTCGCCAGTTTACCCCCCCAAGTCAAGCGTGCGAAAAGAAATTTCACTTCTAAAACATTTCACTATGTTAAATGTTATCAATGACTTTTAGAGGTTAGTAGAGTCCTGTTAAACAAACGATTTTGCTTGCATTAAGAGATTCTGCCTTTTAGTAGATATAACAATGTTTATGGATATTAAATTATCTACATTTAGTATATGTAAAAACTATATCGGTAACAATACAACTGCTGTTCAAGTTTCCATACAAAATTTTGACAATGACATTTCGCACCCGCAAACGATTAGAATTCGATATTTGTTTGTGCTAAGGGTACTGTACCCTTAGTACGAACCAATATCAAATTCGTATAGTTGAATTCATTTTGGATACGCGTCAAATGCAAAAATGCGAAGATAATTAAAAATCTTCCATAAAAAACCTCTTGACATTTGACGCGTATCGATATGAAATATGTCAGATGCTAAATGTTATACAGTGTGTAAAAAAACAACAGTTAAGATACACAAGATAGTACAGTCAATCTGTCGAAAAAAAAATTCGTTTCAATGAAAAAAAAACCTAAAGGTCTTGTCTTGTTTTTTCTGTGTCAAAATGACGTCACTTTGGCCGTCAGTCAGTAAGCCACTTTGGCGATGGGCATGTTCAACTCGTAGGCGTTTCTTGAAAAACTCAAAAAACCCTCAAAGATTTTTTGAAACGCATTTTTCTTGTTTTGTATGCATTTTAGAAACTTTTTTTCGACCATAATTGGAGAGGGCGTTGAGTTCTACAATTTATGTCATTGTTGCAATCTCGTATAACAAAAAATGCGCCTTGTAGGTGGCGCTAAAGTCTCAAAAAAGTGATTTTTCACTTTTTCGCCCTGAAAATATCATTTTAATGGAAAACTTTAAATGGAAAAGTTGTTCCGTACATTTTGTATAAATATTTTTTTTTGTATTACTTACCGTTTTCAAGTTATAAATTGCGCAGGTATGAAAAGTCCAATAGAGCGGTTTTTGGGCAGTTCAAGTACACATTTACAGTGCACATTTCAATGTACGTTTTTACTTTTTTTTTTCAATCATGAAAAAAAAAATATATACATAATATAATTTTGAGTTTTTCAAAAAACGCCTACGAGTTGAACATGCCCATCGCCAAGGTGGCTTACTGACGTCATTTGGCAACAGAAAAAACGAGACTTACCCTTTAGGTTTTTTTTTCACCACTCAACCTACAGATTGACTGTACTAAGAACAGTTAATATACTATTATTGCCGCCCCGCCACACTTCTACGGTACTTTTCATTTATGAATGATAAATAAAAATATTTTAAAAATCTGAATTACCAATGACTTTACCTAATTTGAGTGTGCTGTCCCTGTACACTGATTTTTCATGTTAGTGTAAAGCCGGTTAAAGCCAATTTTTTTTCGAAACATACAACAAAAACGCATCACAATACTTTGTTTCTGAAACATGTTTCTCTATACACGCCGTCCACCGCTCACGTGGCTTCCATACACAAAATACACAGATCTACGTTCAAAAACTAAGTTTCATACATTCTATGCAACGATATTAAATACCCTAGATACACCAACACGAACAAAATCATGCCCGAAACCTGTCCACAAGCTACATTGGACGATCCACGGAGCTCCGTAAAATGATCCCGTAGTCTAAACAGTATGAGGCATTATATAAACATTCAAAATTACCTTTAAAGCATACTTTATAAGGTCTTAATTAAAACGCACGCACGTAGAGTAATGACAGTCCGATATGTAAGCTCGTAAAATTTTACGACTTATTGCTATATGCAGAAGAATAAAGACCTTATTTCTTTGACTGTACGCGCAATTCTGAATGCGCTGTTATAGACCAGGGTCGATAATTTTAAAAATGGTGAAAAGTGAAAAAGAATTATAGTAGGATGAAACCCATTAGAAAAGGTAGAGAATATAACAAAAATGAAAGGAAAAATAAATTACGGGCGATCTGAGGTCGGGAAGGGGGAGGGGGTGAGTTTTTAAGGGTAAAAAATGGTTAATCTCGATTTCCGGTAAAACTGCAAGTCCTATGAAAAAAATTTAAATGGCAAAGTTGTAGGTAATAAAAAGACCAAAACTTTTGTATCGACACTTTTTTCACATAACCTCAAAAGTTATGTGAAAAATGCGAATAACCGAGTTTTTGATTTTTATTTTTTACAAAAAAAATTATTTTTTCACGAAATTTGGTGAAAACTTACCTTTGTATGTCCCAAACATACAGTAATTTTTTTGACTTAAAATATTCATTTTTTCACCTTATTTTGACTTAATATCCAAAAAGCACCCTAATTTTCAATCGAAAATTTTCACGTCAAAATATCTGCTTTTTTAAAAAAGTTGGGGTGTATTTTGTTTGTTGAAATCTCTACTTTCTGATGGTATAAAAAAAATATACACTACTATGATAAATGTTCTCAGAAAATGCAAATTAATCATGAAAAAAACTCGAATCCGAAAATCCTATTTTTAATACCTACTTACAACAACTATTTTTGCATGTTTTATGGATTTGTAATTTTTCTGTTTATCAATATAACATGAAATCTTACGTTTTTCGAGTAATTAAAGCGTAAATTTTAATAAATAGTTCAAAATTATACATAATGATTCACATCAATTTTTCGGATTGGAGTTTTTTTTTATTATTAATTTGCAGTTTCTGAGAACATTTACCATAGTAGTGTATATATTTTTTATACCATCAGAAAGTAGAGATTTCAACAAACAAAAAACACCCCAATATTTTTTAAAAAAGCAGATATTTTGACGTGAGAATTTTCGATTGAAAATAAGGGTGCTTTTTCGATATTAAGTCAAAATAAGGTGAAAAAATGAATGTTTTAAATCAAAAAAATTACTGTATGTTTAGGACATACAAAGGTAAGTTTTCACCAAATTCCGTGAAAGAATATTTTTTTTTTGCAAAAAATAAAAATCAAAAACTCGGTTATTCGCATTTTTCACATAAATTTTGAGGTTATGTGAAAAAAGTGTCGCTACAAAAGTTGTAGATCTTTTTATTACCTACAACTTTGCCATTTATTTTTTTTTCAATAGACTTGCAGTTTTACCGGAAATCGAGATTAACCATATTTACCCTTAAAAACTCACCCCCTCCCCCTTCCCGACCTCAGATCGCCCGTAATTTATTTTTCCTTTCATTTTTGTTATATTCTCTACCTTTTCTAATGGGTTTCATCCTACTATAATTTTTTTTGGTCTCAAAAATTATCGACCTGGTCTATTAGTAATATAGCAGGTACGGAACGCGAGGAAAAGAGACGGCTATATTATCGACCATTATGCATTTGAATATCACAAATATTTTCTATTAAATCGGTTTATAGGAAGTATTACAACAAAATTTACTTCAAATGCGTTAAATTAATAAACATTCATTAGAAGTCGAAGAAACGTCATTTTACATTCTTTATGTATTACTTTCACCTGTTTTGACGGAGCTCAGCGGCATGGTGACTTCAACGGTCCGCGCGTGACTGTGAATCAAGAAGTGCTTGAACACGACTCAAGCACTTCTTGATTGGGACACATTTTCTCTCCAAAATCTTATACATGCTTCATGGGTAACAGATTATAAAACTTAGGTCTAAGATTGTGAGAGACTGGTGACAAAACTTAGATGACGCCTGTGTCTCAGTGCACCAGCCTCTCCCCGCTTAAGAAAGTGTTACATAAGCAAAAAAAAGGAGAACAACGATAAAATCTAGTTTCATATTTATATTATTTTGCATGATATGGTATATGGTAGTGCTGGTTGTGAGTATGGTGTTTATGTGCGTGTGTGAGGTGTGTGTGTGTGTGTGTGCGTGTGTGTGTTAGTTTGGAACTGATCCCCCGCTAGGAGTTGTCAAAAAAATGGCCGGGTCTCCAGCGAGTTCAGTACCCAGCTAAGGGCTCGGTGAATAAGCGGGGCCATGCCCAGTAAAAACCATTAAGCTTATTCGTTAACTACTTTTTACAGATGGAAGTGACAATCACCAAGCTGTTTATTGATCCACTTATCATAACGCCACTAAGATTCTTGTTCTGAAAAGCACCGATGTATATGCAATTTTATCTTTAGTTACACACTGGTCTAAAGTTAAATTTGGCAACGGTGTATCCTTGTCATTCTCTATACAGAATGAAATGCAGAGACTAAATTTAAATTTAGCTTTAGACATAGACAAGTGAAACCACGCCCTAGCGACCAAGTTCATTCGCGTTTCTACTTTCCTAATTTGGTCCCTGAAAACCAGGCATTTCAAGTGTTTTTATTTATTTTGTGTTTATTGCGACGTCCTCTAATTTCATCTTCACATATTTATTTATTTAGAGGAGTTCGATGGCGCAAGAGGTTAGCGCGTTCGGCTACGACCGTTGAAGTTAAGCAACTTTCGCAGTGGTCGGTCATAGGATTGGTGACCAAAAATTTACTATCTCGAGCTCCTCCGTACTTCGGAAGGCACGTTAAGCCGTCGGTCCCGGCTGCATCTGCAGTCGTTAGCACCCACCAATCCGCACTGGGCCCGCGTGATGGGGCATGGCGCAATCTCCCTATTCTCAACCATAGGGAAGGCCTGTGCCCCAGCAGTGGGGACATTAATAGGCTGATGATGATGATGATATTTATTTAATTATTACCATGATTGTATTTGTGATTTGGTCGTTCAACAGGACGGGTATAAATGAGCTGCGTAACCTCCAATACTTGCCTCGCTGGAGTGAGGCGCGAGAGTTTCTGTTCGAGGATCGAACCCGGGCCCACGCCGATCATGTGGGCCATGGACTGGACCGCATCACTACCGCTGCCGTTGGTGAGTTATATTATCAATGAAAATGGTGAAATCTGAAAAAAACAATACTAGAAAAATAACCACGTTGTCCAGAAAGCAGACGGGATGCGAACCCGAACCCTCCGCTATTGGGGGGATGTACTGACCAATTATGCTACCACGACCTGATGGACCGTGTCGAATTTCTTCTAGTATTTCTAAGGCTGCATTGCAACGAACATTATCTGTTCAAGCTGATGCTTAAAATAAAGATACGATGATATCATATTGTTACGTGTCGGGATGGGGTTCGAAATTATAGGCCAGTTCGCGCTTGACAGTTCTTTATTCATCACACAGTTCACACAATTAACACAATGTTAATTACAAAACAATCACTAAACACTGTATTTCACTATACAAGTCTTTAAACTATCGCACTTGAACACTTTTGTTGCACTGATCGCCTTTGGATTCGCTCCGAAATCGCTGTTGAAACTCAACTGTCTCTGCGCGGCGCCAATAGCGCTTACACACGCCGATCGACGCATTCTAGAAAGTACCCGTTAAATTGAGAATTAGCTAGCACCCGCGAGTACGAAGCACCTACTTATACTTACGCAGGTAACGCGCATAACTTGTAAACAAGTGCAGATGTCGTTGCACTTTCTCCCTTACGCCGCACTGCATAAGGCTCATTTTAGAATGAGCCGCATTACTCGACCTCTATCGCGACCCGCGGTGCTCTGGCACATTCGATCTCTAGCACATTCACGGTTCTGTTTCGAGAGCGTTTGTGACAATATTTATTTATAATTTAAAATTTTAAAGCATGTAACTGCTTGATGTTTAAATCTAATGAAAATATAACTAGAAAAAATTCCACGCGGACCAGGCAGCAGACGGGACTCGAACCCGCACCCTTCGCAATCCGGGCGAACGCACTGACCAATTATGCTACCGCGGCCCTCACGGACCGTGTCGAAATTCCTCTAGCCATTCTTAAGCTGCAAGGCAGCGCCATCTCTTCGCATTATGGCTAGAGGAATTTCGACGCGGTCCGTGAGGGCCGCGGTAGCATAATTGGTCAGTGCATTCGCCCGGATTGCGAAGGGTGCGGGTACGAGTCCCGTCTGCTGCCTGGTCCGCGTGGAATTTTTTCTAGCAATATTTATTTGTCATCGCAGGTGTATTGAAGGCGATCCACTGCGGCGACGAATCTGATCGCGGCCGCATAACTAAGGACGTGGTCGCATTCCACGCGGGCGACTTCAACAAGCTGGTGCAGCTGTTGCAGCTGGATCTGTACGAACCGCCCATATCGCAGTGCGTCACGTGGTGAGTCTATTTCTATTTCGAGAATGAGAAAGAGAGACATTTCTCTCTTTCACAGCTATACTCTATTCAATAGGGTATTTGGCAAGTTTTAGAAAACGATCTTACGGTATTTTCTAATGTTTATAGAGTCCATTGGATGGATATTCATCATAATGTTGCGTATTACGGATAAAAAAACTAAATCAAAAACTCTGTTTTGAAGTTGCCGCGTATTTATTTTATTTATTTATTTATTTATTCTTTATGCACAAATGTACAATGGCGGACTTAATGCCGTAGGCATTCTCTACCAGTCAACCATAGGATGTTGTGGATATTATTAGTGGTAGGGTGCACAACTGAAGTGGAGATCACATTGAAGTTTATAAAAATAATAAATATAAATAATAATATATAAACGTACACATACATAAGTTAATATATTTAAATAAATACACAAATACATACATATTTCCAAAATAAATACAAAATAATGACGACAAACCACTCAACGAAACGCCTGATCTAATAAAAAGCTTCGCAGTTTGGTTTTAAAGGTATATTTACTGGGGGACATTCTGATATCTAGCGGGAGATCATTCCACAAAAGTATCGTTTTTACGAAGAAGGAAGAGTGAATAATATCGGAGCAGTGTGATGGAACGATAAGTAAACGATTAGAAGAAGATCGAAGATTTTTACTATGAGAGGTACATAAGTACTGAAATTGAGAAGTGAGATAAGGGGGAGCATTTGGAGAATCCAGCAAAGAGAACAGGGTTGTCAGAGCCCGCATACTTCTGCGCTGCCTAATGGGCATCCATTTTAAGAGAGATCGGTATGCGGACACATGGTCATATTTTCTCAGATTGAAAACGAATCGAATGCAGTTATTCTGAAGGCGATCAAGTTTGTTGAGTAGATCTGCATTCAGGTCGAGGTAGCACAAATCACCATAGTCAATTATGGGAAATATTAAGGTTTGCACAAGCATTGCCTTGATATTGACCGGCAAAAAATTTTTCATTCGATAAAGGGCACGCAGGGTTCCCGTTACTTTTTTACAGACACTACCAACTTGGTCCTGCCATTTAAAACTCGAGTCGATATACAAGCCCAGATCTTTAACGACGTTGCTAAAAGGTATTGTAGTACCGTCATGAATAATGGAACCAAGACTGTTGATGTCAATTTTGCTCATCATCCTTGACCCCCCTAGTAAAATGGCTTGGCATTTTGAAGCATTGACAGTGACCCCAAATTTTTCCGACCAGGTTTTAATAGCGACTAAGTCACTGTTTAGAGCATCAATGGCTTTGTTTAAATTGTCGATGCTTGCTTCAGTATATAATTGTAAGTCGTCAGCATATAGATGATACGAACACTGAAGATTGTGAGTGATAAAATCAATAAAAGTTGAAAAAAGAAGAGGAGAGAGAATACCGCCTTGGGGAACACCAGTTTCAAGGTTGCGCCAGGATGAGGAATATTCCCCAGACCGGACCAACTGCCGGCGGTCCCGAAGATAAGAAGAGAACCAAGTCAACACATCGTCAGAGACCATAAGATGGGATAGTATAGAAAGGAGAATATCGTGACTGACAGTATTAAAAGCATTGGAGAAATCGATAAGTACTAAACATGTTACTTTACCGTTCTCCATTCCCGCCCTAATATCGCCAGTCACCTTTAAGAGCGCTGAAATTGTGCTATGTCCTGACCTAAATCCGGATTGGAGGGGGTTCATCAATGAATTTTTGTGGACATATTGAGATAATTGCTTGTGAACGCAGGCCTCTAGCACTTTTGACATGAAGGGGAGGATAGAAATCGGCCGAAATTCATGTGGCTGTGTTGGATTGGAAACTTTGGGAAGAGGCCGTACATAAGCTTTTCGCCATAGCATAGGAAAAGTGCTGGTTTCAAGAGAAGAATTCATTAAATGCGTTATAGCAGAAAGAAGAGGGTCAAGAATAGTAATGATCATGCGACGACTAATATCGTCACACCCTATCGCATTTGACTTAACGGAAAGTATTATCTTTTTAATCTCTGTCGATGTGACTGGTGAAAAATGGAAGGGGTCGACGTTAGGACGCGTTAAACCATTTATGGAAGCAACAGTGCTTGCTGTAGAATCACGATCCAACTTAAAAGTTGTGGTGAAATGAGAATTGAGGTCGTTTAAGTTTATTGAATTAGGTAGGTCTAAATGTCGCGATTTGCCGATACCTAGTGTTCCAAGGAACTTCCAGATATCTGCAGAAGATGAGGAAGAAAGATTGTTGAGAATATATCGGCGTTTGGCGTTACGTATCATCTGATTACACCGATTTCTAGCAGCCTTGAAGAGTTTCCACTTTTCGTCAGAGCGATCCTTTCTATAACTGCGATAAGTACGATTTCTACGTCTCATCGCCATCTGAATACCTGCTGTCATCCAAGGAGCTGGTTCACGCTTTAGCTTCACTTTTCTGATGGGCGCGTGGACATCGTTAATGTTCAACAGGGTATTGTTAAATATTTTTAGCTTTTCGTTGACATCCGAAGCTTGAAACATAGGGTCCCAATTGATCCCTGAGACATCCTTTAGTAATTTGTCTAAGTCCATACGCGCGAATGAGCGCCTGTGCAAAACCTTGGGGGGGAATTTGGGGGGCTTAAACCGATAGGAAAGGAAGATGAGGTCATGATGAGAGAAGCCAGGAGCGATATGTTGACCATGTGATGTGACGAGAGAGGGATTAGAGGTGAGGATTAAATCCAGCCATGTATCATCACCACAAGAGCTTTGGTGAGTTGGTTGAAGGGGTAAAATATGTAGGCTTGCGGACTGGACAATATGAAGGAGTTTTCGGGAACGTGAGGATTCGGGAGCGAGGAGATTGGTATTAAAATCACCCATGATGATAATATGTGCATATTCAGACCCTAAAGATTCTAGAACCTCTTCAAGTTCGGTGAAATAATCGACTGTGGGGGGACAATAAACTACACCAATAACTGCTTTAGCACGACCTGTCCCAATCTCCAGAAAAATATATTCCGAATTGGAGTCAGAGTTGGAGGAAGTTTTTAGTTTATACAAAAATGTACTACGTAGGTAGATAGCGACACCACCTCCGCCACGGCCACAACGATCATTCCGAATTAAGGTAAAACCAGGGAGAGAATAAGTGGGAGATAGAAGATGTGGTTTTAACCAAGATTCGGAAATTAGTATAGCGTGTACATTTCGCCCAGAGAACACATCAAGCAACTCGTCATAATGACTGGGTAAACTTTGAGCATTGATGTGACATATATTCAATAGACCTGGAGATTGGTCAAGAGTTCGATGCAAAAAATCACCAAGTGTGTCGGTAGCTGAACAGAAGCTTTCATTAATAGAAGTGTCTGCAGATTCGTCATCAGCAGATAAGAATTCGTCGTCTGATATCATATACTACATAAATATTAATAAATAAATTTATATATATATATACAAATAAAGATACAAAAAGTGAACAAATTAATGCAAAAACAAAACGAAAAAGCACCAAAATATCCACACCACCCGCCAGCTTACATTATCTGGTTACAAGGAAAACATAAAAAAACACATAATAATCACAATTACAATTAACAATTGCATATCTTAATAATAATAAATGAATGCGTAATATTCAAACTTATCAAGCGAAGATGAGTTATAAAATTTAGTTACAGACACAAAATGAAATAATATATGGCTGTATGAACACAGGTTTCTTTGCTTTCGTGCAGAAGAACTAATTTGAGAGAAAAAAAAAATGACATTGACAAGATGACAGTGACATTTCATCGACACAAACAAACAAAACCAAATTGTGAGAGGAAAGCAAATTACTTACCAGATTACCTTAAAGTAAAAAAAAAAAAATATAAAAAACAAATTATAAACGCAAACTGGATATTCTGTGTCTATCAACAGCATGCAGTATAAGAAAGCCAAAAACAACGAATTAGCTATTGCGACTTTAAAGGATCACATTTATTTCTATGGTAAGTAATAATTAATGAAATTTTATAAGAAGCAAAATGTTGTCTATAAAGGTAGCAATGAAAAAGCAAATTGTATAGGTACAAAGAAAATAAAGTTACTACTTGTTTTCATTTGCAGTTCCTGGTCGCACAGCAGTCGAGGAATCTTTTGGGTATTTACTAACCAGGACGTCCAAATCCTCTTTAAGCACCACCTTATGACGCCTACTATCAGAAGACTTGACATGAATGATGAATGAGTCCAGCAAGACCGGACACCAAAATGCAGCCGAGCATTGTTGAAGATCGCTTGCCTTGACTTGGTTAGAAACTCTTTCACTGAGATGTTCGTCCCCTTCAAGCTCTTCTTCGCCTTCCAGACTGCAGATTTCAATTCATATTGCGAAAACTTAACAAGAACAGGCCGATGCTTAATGCTTTCATTGCTACTGGACACTCCGAGCCTGTGACAAACCGATAGTGCAGCTTTATTGACATCTTTGAGACCCATCTTTGTCCCGAGAAGGCCACAGACCACCTCCTTGCAGTCTTCAGCATCAGATTCTTCAATGCCCATGAAAATCAGAGCTTTACGACGGTGCCGGGATTCCATGGCATCTATCTGTGTGGTGCACTCGTTGATTTGCTTGCGGAGAAGCCCCAACATGCCAAATATGATCTCCCTGAAGGTCCGGAACTCCTCAGCTACTTTTGCGACTGTTTCCTTACCGGAACCTGCACCCTGGATTTGAGCCTCCAGATCCTGCATTTTCTTATTGAAACATTCCTCCAAACTCTTTTGTGCAGAAACAATATCGGATAATTGTGGCATGATGAAATATGCAGTGTTGTTGTTTTGTAGTGTTGAATATTAGATCGTGCAAAACTTTGTGAGTGAAGTGCTGGCAGGTGGTGTAAAATGCAAGCTTATATTACATACAAGATGTTGCAAACACTAGGTATGCTGTTTCACTTCTCTGCTTTGCAAAGTAGCATAAAATCGAAGCACTAAAATAACTTTAAATAATTAAATTGAATTTTACAATTGCGAAACACTTGTTTTATTTTTTTTCTTCTTTTTTTTTTTTTTTTTTTTTTTACGTAAACGTAAACGTATCTTTGGAAAATATGGTGTCTCACTGGTGTGTGACGTCACACGACTATCATTAAAACGTCAAACCATACAATCTAAAGTCCCTTTAACCGGAAGTTTACTTGCGTGTGACGTCATTTTAGGCTCCACCGATCCCAAGCGTTTTGGGTTACGTGACAATAGACAAGAAAACTATTATCTTTATCGTGGTTTTCAGTAAAAAATATTTTTTCTGTAAAAATAGTAAAAACTCCTGCCTATATTCATTCTAAATACAGATGCTAACAATTGGCACTTTATTTTCAATACTGTCAAATACCCTATTTCCTCTGAGACGAAAGTTTTCTCAATAGGTCAAACTTTAAACTCGTATTAAATAATAATTAAAAAAAAGTGACTTAAAACTAGCTATTCCCAAACTTTGAACGCATTGTAATACTACTAAAGTGAAGAGTGGTGATAAAGCGAGTCATTCACGTTGAAATGCGAAATTTTGATATCAGTCTGGTTACACCGGCCTCCTTTACTATAGATAAAAAAATTAAAATCATTGTTTTGGGTTTTTGTCTTGTCTCGGAGGAAGTTGAATAAGGTATATTACATTTAATAATCAATCTGCAGTGAAAGGTAAGGATCTAACCGCGGCCGTATAACTAGGTACTTTAATAAACTGTTGCAGCTGAATCTATACGAATATCGCAGTGTGTCACATAATTTATTACTACTTCTAGTGCCTTTAAGAGAGACATTATCCTCTCTAAAAGCGATTCAATAATAAATTTACAATAAAAGGTAAGGATCTTTACAAACCGCCCATATAGTCACGTGATGAGTCTATTTATACTTCTAGTGCCTCATAGAAAGATAAACATATTTTCTTAGTCTCCCGCGACAAACGATTGTGCGGCGACATCTACTCCCCCACATTTAACCAACATTGACGAAGTAATCACTCGCCTCGTCAAGAGATGGCGCTACTGGCGATACACTCATAAAGTATGGAAGCCTACAACGCGCTAGAGACATTCGAAGGCTAACTATTCATTTATGCATTCAACGGGCATCCGTTGTTAGGTAGTCGATTACGAATTGCCGTCCTTGTACTTATATAGCCTTCCTCGATAAATGCACTATCCAACACAAAAAAAATGGATGCGTGTAACTTATGTACGCGCGTGAGAAGTTATACTTCTTTAGCATCATTAAAAATATTTTTTAATTGCATGCAAATAATTAATAATTACAATAAAATAATAAAAGGACTGGAAAAGCATAGTTAACACAATCAATTAAGTTCAGTTTTAATTTGAAAAATTAAATAAATATTCAAAATATTCAATTAAAATCACTACTGAATTTAAGTTATTAGTCCATATGTAATTAGCACTTGTAAGTAACTAAAACACGTTGTGTCTATATAGTAACTAGAAACATGTGGATAAATATTATAAATATGAAAACAGTGATCAGAGGCGACGAGCGTGCCAACATTTTTTTTGACAACGCGATCATCTTATGGAGCTCCGTGGATCGTTCAAAGTACCTTTCGAATGGTGGATTATTAACCACTAAGTGGTTAATAATCCACCATTATTAGACACTAACATTCATAACGCACCCGCGGCCAACTTCATGGTGTTACTATTGTGTTACAGTGATGCGCGCGCATCTCGAAATTTCACTCACATGATTTTTTCATAACGCGCACGCGGCCAACTTCATGCTGTTACTTTTGGGTTACAGTGATGCGCGCGCATCTAAAAATTTCACTCTCATCATTTTTTCATAACGCGCCTAAAGAAGTATAACTTCAAAAAATTTTTAAATCGGACCAGTGGCTCCGGAGAGCGCGTTCAAACAAACAGACAATCAAACAAACAAACTCTTCAGCTTTATAATCTTAATATATATAATTTACGCGTCACGTTGTTTGTACGGGATGGACTCCTAAACTACTTTACCGATTCTAATCGAAGGACATTGTTCTGCGTCCATACATTGCGCCTAAGCCTATAGCCTAAGAACCAACAATCATGAAATATTATTTTCTAGGTTCTAAATTGCAGGTAAAAACAACATAAAATAAAAACTGTAGTTTTGCTTCTTATTTATTAACTATTTCTGACATAATGGTATCATGTTGTATAATGTATTTATTTGTATATCACATGTATATTGTGTAAATATGCAGCGTGAATGTGTATCAGGTGCTCTTGAATAATTTGGCAGTATGATCCTCTCAGGATGTTGTAGCACAGGTACCACTTGGTAATAAAGTCTCTGCTCTTTGGTAACAATGATGGCATATTAGATAGCCGAAATTGTTAAATTAAAGGAAAAGCAATCGCAAATAAACACACAATAGGTAATCCGACACGAGAATGCACGAATGCCACAGATTACTACGAATTCAAACTGCCTGCACCACAACCACAGAGTATCGAGTTTTATGCCAGCCATTCACTTGACAACAGTCTGTCCTTGTCATGCTTAATAAGGAATGAAAAGGACAGACTGATGTGAAGTTTTCAAATAGCAAACACGAATAGCCAAGTGAAGTACCGGAATTAGGAAGACAGAGTGTTTTGTTTGCAGCGCTGTCATAGATTATACACATAAAATGGTAGTTAATGTCTCAGATAATTTTTCAACTTTTTAATTTAGCTTAGTTGACTGGAAGTGTCCGTCACAATGTAAATACTGATAATTATCGCAAAAAATATACTAAGAATTATCATAAATGCCAAATTGGTGTTGGTTCTTAGGCCAACTTTAACATTGTCCTTTGCACACCGTGTGCAGTTTGGTCCAACTTGAAAGATAGGATAGGATAGCTTACTTATCTCAATTTCGCAGACGCAATATTATTTTATTGCAAATTATTACTTTTGGGTACTTATATTACGCACGTAGTTCGCCGAGTCAGCTAGTATTAGTATAATGGGATTCAACTAGAATAGGACCGACTGGGCGCCATATTGTGACGCCATAGCTGTCAGCTGTCAATTCAAACCAGTTAGGTAGAGTGAGCAAAAAAGTTTTTCTTTAATAAAACTTATTTACCAAGTTTAAGTGAGAAAAAATATCAGATTTTTGAACAGAATCTAGCTCTTTAATTCCGCTTATCGCTACACTACCGTCGGAGCAGTCATCAAGTCATCGTCATTTGAATCGCATTAGATTTTATTATTGTAATAATATATATATCCCCCCCCCCCCCAGGTTGGAAGAAGCGAAATTGAACCAATTGCGTCGCGAAGGCGTTCGTTATTCTCGCCTGCCGCTGTGTGCCGACGACGTATACTTCTTGCCGAGGAACATCATCCATCAGTTCCGCACCGTGTCTGCAGTCGCGTCAGTCGGTGAGGATATAAGCATTTATATAAATAAATAAATATTTCCAACACGCACACATCAATTAGCCTAGCCCCAAAGTAAGCACTATAAGGCTTGTGTTATGGGATACTAGGGTAACGGATAGAATACATATATACTGTATATGTATAAGTATATTTATATAGAAATACATATTAAACATCTATGACTGGAGTTCAAATGGTGTCCGTTCGTACTGTCTCTTATGCATGATGTGGCTTCCTTCAATAGAATTTTGTATGTATTACTATTATAATGTTTAAAAATAAGATTTAATGTATCATTCTCTGGTGGTCCTAAAAATGTACTTTTTTCCACTTTCGTGTGGCGCTTTTTTCTGTTACTAAGTACAAGGTATATTTCAGCGTGGCACCTGAGACTGAAGCAATACTACCCGTCTTCGGAAGCCTCTTCCCCGGCAGATGAGAGGCCACCGCCAGAACCTGTTCCAACAGTAGAACCAGGTATGAAAATAGGCCTCATTAAATGTAACCTTTTACCCAGTCGTCCCACCGTGGGCAAATGGGAGTGAAGTCATTGTCCTCACTTTCCATATGCCTCCAGTGGCATTCCTGCGGGGTCAACTAGGAATAAAGGAAATGTAATAGTTTCAGTCGAATTTCACACATTATTTTGATAGTAACTCGATTTAACTGTGACGTACTTGTTTGGTAAATAAATCGTTTTACTGTCATGATTTTTACGTTAGTCTAGATAATAATGAAGTCGATTCTGGCATGATCCTCTAAACTTGAAACTAAATTGAACATCAGTCTTACCTTTTCATTCAGTATAGAGTATTACAACGATACACTTGTCAAATTTAAGTTTAGATTAAGAGAATCATGTCAGAATCGACAACAATATATCCTTATATATAGCTCTTAAGTATTAAAAAATACATCTATAAAAATGAACTATGTTTGACAAAGATAATCTTTGTAGTATCATACTTTTTTATTTTATTTTTTTTAACAAAGAGCCTACAGCGTTTTTCTTTTTGGATTTAATACAATAAAATATAAAAACAATCTTAAGGCCAATTACAGAAACTCATTATGTACACAACTCATTATGTTTAATAAAAATATATTATTTTTAGCAACACTTTTACGAGTAATACTAATGAGTTTTCCATAGATTTTCATAATTGTTCATTCACGTACATTTTCAATGCATAAACTGCACTGCAAATTTAAAAATTGGAATTTAATCAAACGGAGCTGAAAAGAAACATTAAATATAGAAACATATTTTAGTAGTTCATTTTCATTCCTAGTGTAAGGAAATTTCATAAATATAATTTTATCTTTTTTGCAGAACCCAAAAAATCTTCAAAACACAAAGAGGGCGTGATAGAAATGAGAGCATTGTGTGCAAAATTCAAAGAGAAACCAGCTCAAGTAACTGAAAACAGGAAGAGCTTAGACTCTTCAGTTTCTCCTGAAAAGGCAGATGATAAAAGAGACAAAAAGCCAGAGATCAAAACTGAGAAGCCCGATAAAGTCGACAAGGAAGTCAAAACGGAAAGAACAGAAAAAGCAGAAAGAACGGAACATAAAACGGACAGATCGGAACATAAATCGGAGAGAACGGAACACAGAACGGAAAAATCTGAACACAGATCGGAACACAAATCGGACAGAACAGACCACAAATCAGACAGAACAGAACACAAGTCAGACAGAAACGACAAGTCTGAAAAATCTATTGTTAAAAATGACAGAGTGGATAAAGACAAGAATCACAGGCACAGTTCGGACAAGCATCGGACAGAAAGGTCGGATAAACACGACCATCATAGGCGGCATTCGTCGTCTAGATCCCACAAATCTCATAAATCAGATAGACCAAGAGAACACAAAGAACACAGAAGTGACGACAGGCACAAATCCAGAGACAAGGAAGCAGTCAAAGACAAACAAGAACACAAAAGCGATGGCGTCAAGTTACCAAACGACGTAGCACAGAAGCCCCCAGATTAGTATACAGTGGTTTCTCTAAGACTTTAAACGGTATGAAGTGCACAGTCAGTCCCATTTTGCGGACACACCATATTGTACTCTACGATAGTGTTGTGTAAGGTTTTGATTTCCGTGTTGGTACATAGAAGACATATCTCCTGATCTCCATAGGATTTTGCAGTAAGTGAATATTTTTTTAATGATACATACTGTGTGTTTGTAGCGTTTTAGATTTTGCAAATAGATTACCTATCAACAATAAGATTTGATGATGACAGACTAAGTCCCGTATTGATATGAAATGAAATGAAATGAAATAGATAATATGATAATAATAGATCACTTAACTCACAGAGAGATATATTGTTTTCTACTTTCCTGGTCACTAGTAACATCAGAGTCTATCTAAGTAATATCGGAGACTCATAAAAAACAAGGTGCATGGTAACAATCCCGTTAATAGCTATAATCACAGAGAGATCTTGAGATCCTATTTTGTATGAAAACAGTATCTAAACATTGTAGTCTCAGTGATCTATTAATCATTTTAAAATAGGTAGTTGGTTTGTGAAATTTAAAATGTTCGACATTTTAATAGTAAAAAGAGGTTTTAACATTGTTTCGTGTTAAAGGAATATATAAATTTAAGTAAAAACCATTATAATGTATTAAGTCCTAATGACAATTCCTATGAAACCGTAAAATTATCAAAATTTGCTCAGATTTAATTTAGTTTGTACATTCAATGTCATTATCAAGATATTATCTGTTACAAGTTTGACAAAGTCTCGAAAGTTTGAATAATTAAAATTCTTAAAACCACCTCTCAATTTTGAATTGGTTTAGGTAATTTTTGTTGAGAGACTTCTACAATACTATACTGCACGAGAATATGAAAATGGAATATTCTGTTTTGCCTTTTAAGCCCAGCTCTTGATTATTAAACATGAGGCTCAAAATTAATTGAGAAAATTCCTACACTTCAGTACTTCAACTTGATATGAGGTTGATTGTACAAAGTTCTAGTTTCTGAATACCGTTGTTTGTGTAGCAAAATGGAGCCCTGATACCCACTTCATCCTTGAAATTAGGATAATTATTTCTTTTTGTAAATATTGAAGAGTCTCCTAGAGGCTTATGCGGTGTCGATATGATTGTGAGCGCAGCAGTTTTAGATAACATCGAGTCTAATCCTGGCATGGTGTTCTAAATCTAAAACTTTATCTGACAGAAATCTTAGTCTGTTCGCATATCTACGGTTTCCTGATCAGGAATTCAGATTCAGACTTCTGTGGGCCCAGTGCAGACATTTCAGTTTATTTATTAGGTAGATTCCGAACCAAACTAGGTTTTTCCTATCTGAAAAAATGAGAATAGTGTGCGCCTATTTGAACATTTGTATGTAAGGAAGTGTATTCAGGTCTCCGAATCAGATTACCTGATCAGGAAACCGAATCAGTTAACCATATTTATGCATCCTTCCTTAAGAATGAATAGGAGCGAGAATTGTCAAATATAGTTTCAAATTTGGAGAATAATGGCAGCTTTTGACTCACAATCTTATTTGTTTAAATTAATTTTAAATATAAAAATAATGCAGAGTTAAGTTTAAATCCTTGTTCATTTGTCTGTTCAAAAGATTATATCCAGCCACAATTTAAAGCTACAGGTTGAAAATCATGTAAATATTTTATGTTTCATCCTTTTATCTAAAACTGCGCGGTGTTTGTGATGTGAAAGAGTTTAATTACGTCGAAAGAGAGTTATAATAAATAAAAAATTAAGTGAAGAGGAGAATGGTAAATTAAATATTCACACATATTTCTAAAAAAAATTGCACTAAGATTACAAAATAAATAAAAGTATATTCAGTTAGTATATCTAAGGGTAATATTAACTTGTGATTTTTTTTTTATTTATTGAAGATACATTTTGTAATTATAATATTATAATTAGTTTCATGTCTACAACAAGAACTGAATGGAATTTTAACATTTTCACATACTCAAGTATTTTTTTATAACATTTTTAAAAACACTGGGTTTTAACAATTTTCTAAATCACGACATTGAGGAAAACATTGGTGTCGATTCTGGCACGATTCTCTAAATCGAAACTTAAATTTGACAACAGTGTATCCTTGTCATTATCTATACAGAATGAAAAGGAGAGACTGATGTTAAATTTAGTTTTAAGTTCAGAGAATCACGCCAGAATCGACACCATTGTATTGTTATAAACATGAAACTCTACACATGGCAAAGTCATTCAAGTCATAATATTGTTTAAATGAAATTTGTTTAGTATTGTTAGTGTGAGAGAGATAATTTTATTTGAGTTAGTCTTAACTCTAGGTTGTATGAAAACACTTCAAGGATTGTCTCATTATAATTTAAAAATTTTGCAGGTGGGCTTTTGTTTCTTATCAAATGATTGAATGCTAAACTCTAAGGGCGCTTTTTTTTTTTATTTCATTAAGTATGTATTTATATTTTATCATATTTGTATCGACTGCATGAAGTCTTTATTTAGGGCGCTTTCAATTTATGCGTTTCTTGATGGCCCGCTGCGGTGCCGAAGCGGTGCGTTTGTCGTACAGCGTACGGACTGTCCTTTTTTTTCATACAAAACGTGCGGTGCGGCTACAGTCCTGTTGTCTAGCATTCGCGGTACCGGCGCCGCACTGTTGCCGCACCGCACGTTTTGTATGAAAAAAAAGGACAGTCCGTACGCTGTACGACAAACGCACCGCTTCGGCACCGCAGCGGGCCGTCAAGAAACGCATAAATTGAAAGTTTGTCGATACAAATATGATAAAATATAAATACATACTTAATGAAATAAAACTATATATATATAACTTAACTGGCGATTAACATTATTCATAGAAAAGTCGATATAAAAATAAATCTTGGGTTGACTATCTTCTTTTGATCTCTGGTAGCTACCAAAGCATCAAATACGGAGCTCAGTAGGCAAGGTCAATAGAGGAATTCCAGTCTAGAAATAGCCAGAGCCAAGTTCATCTTGCTAAGCTCTTCTCAAAAAAGTTTTATCAGATCCCACATTAATCATCAAAAAGGATCTAAAATAAAATATAGAAATTTATTTAAAAATGAACACCATTTTAGTAAAATTTATACTAGATCCTAAAATTGTGTGCACTTTTATCACATTATTTGCATTGATTTTATGACAAGTTTTTACTTTTGTTCATTTAATAATTTATAAAAGCATAAGCCTAACTGCAAAATTTTCATAATAATTAGGTATGTTGAAGTTAAATTTATTTACTTGAATTATCAAATTATGACATACAAAGCGAGTTGCACATTCACGTTAGGCAATATCCCTGAATTGATAAGCCAGCATCTGGCAACCCCAGCTGGGATAGTTTACACGGTGAATTCAGTAATATATATGAACCCTTTTTCTGCAGCCAATGAATACTGAATGATTACTGATAAATACGAATAGGGGTTGAGATTCAACACGTCATTTACAGTAATTCTTAAAAAAAACATTGCTATATATATAGTACATTCAAAAGAAAATTACAACAACAACATAAATTTGTTAAACAATTTGTTGCTATTTTACTTTTTAAATATGTCTTAATTTCAATATATAAAAAAATAATTTTGAGAAAATTATAACTAAAGTTAAATTTTGTTTGGAGTGTGACAGTTATGTTAGGGAAACAGTATTATTCACAATTCTAACAGAATGGAATCTGGTAACAAAAAATAAATAGATCTGTGATTGCATCTATCATCATTATGTTCATATTAGCTTAATACTATAATTGCATTTATTCAAGTTTGGTTTGTTTAGAAATGTATAGTTTTGATTTTGATACATCCCGTCTTTTGTGAATTGTGGTTTTTAATAACAAAATGGTTTTTATTTTATCCTAGCACTGAAATGCTACAATATCGCAAATTTTAATCTAACACATGCATAGAAAAACTAAACACATAAGTTTTCTCTTTCTTATTTATGCTACTCCCATGAAAATGTCTTATGCTCACGGGGTTGGGTTACCATTCGTCCACATTTAAATGACATGTCCGGATCTTAATATTGTAGTCTGGTCCTTTTCTATTTGTATGATTTTCTAAAGTTAAGTTCACAAGAAATGACAGATCAGTATTTCGTCCACTGTCCAGTGTTCTTTATTTGTAACTAGAATACAAGAAACACTTGTTATCTGGAGATTTTTCAAATTTCTTAATGGTAACCCTACCTGGGAGCTAATGCGGGTGTTGAAATGAAAATTTACGTCCTCAGTTGGCGCTACTGTAACGTCTTTTGTATGAAGTTTTTGGCGCGAACTAATCGAACGAGCATTTAAATTGATCCATAGACTATAAGAACATATGAAATTTGACGGATGAGTAGACCTTTCGTCTCAGTGCTGCCACTTGGTGACAGTCATTCCAGAAAACTAATTCTTTCGTTTAATTCTTTTCATCCCTTTCAGAGATTAAATAAATGTATCCATGGTTTTAACAAATAAGAGCTTAAAAAAACAGAGGGAGAAACCGAAAAAAATGCACAATGAAGACCCTGAATGGAAAGCAAAAGTCTGAAATAATTAAAAAAATATTGTTATGCGATCACAGTTCAAAACAATTCATGAATTATTCAGTCGAGTATCATTTAGTAAATTATAATAGGATTTATTATTTCTATGACATTTTGCGAGAAATGTACATTTTGTATATTTTATAAACGTACATAGGTTAAGAGATTTAATGTAACAGTGGGTTACTTATGCAACAATGTTTTTAACTTAATTTTTGTTTGTTACATAGAATTATGTAGATAAAGATATATGAACACGACTGATTCGTTTGAGAGTTTATCTGATTAGTGTCAATCGAAAATGCAATCCGAATTCAAAGCGGAGTTTCAAGTTTGCGTTTCGGATCTTTTATTATAAATAATAGAATAATTATAATTTTGTTGATCAAAAAATGTAAGAAAATTGATTAAATTCCTTATATGAACTAAATTTGGAAATGTGTGTGTTGTAATATCATTTTGTGGCCACCAAGAATAGTTTTTTTAAACTAAACTTAACGTTTCTTAAGTTTTGATTGTAAGATTTTTGCGTTTACCAAAAGAAACAGTTTTGTTGGAAAAGAATAGTTTAAATCGACAATGTATTATAAAAGCAGGTTAATCTCAGGGTTTCACCGATATTATAATGGTAACTGCCAACATAATTGATGTAATAAATTGACCATGTATAAAAAAATAAGCATTCTATAGGAAAAATGTGAGGAGTGCTCGACTCCTTGATGTCTCAAGTCCGCTGGACGCCAATGTGATTGATATTTATCGTATTTATGTTTAGGTGGTTAAATTATTGTTTCAAGTTTCCTATATTTTTTTTTTGAAAATAATAACTAGAGTAAAATAGAAATTGGTTGTTTCATTTTTTATCTACAATATTGTTAATAGTACACAGTGTGGCCTAGGTCCTGATGAGACATGTGGTCGAAATCGGAAGTAATTTAAGGATATATAAATTATTTAGGATTTTTTTTTCATCATACTATTTAGCCTAGCCCCAAAGTAAGCACTGTAGGGCTTGTGTTATGGAATACTAGGGTAGAATACATATACTATACATAATATATAATTATCCATGACGAGTACAAATGGTCGTACAATGCGATTCAACTAAGAATAGGACCGACTGGGCGCCATATTGTGACGTAATAGCTGTCAATTCAAACCGGTTAGGTACAGTGAGCAAAAAAGTTTTTCTTCAATAAAAACTTATTTACCCAGATGAATTGAGAAAAATATCGAGATTTTTAATAATATATTTATTTATTAAGACTGAGTGAGATTGTTTTTATATCAGAATCTAGATCTTTAATTCCACTCATCTCTGCACTACCGTTGGAGTAGTAGTCATCATCATCACTGCTGCTTTCGGCTTTAAAATAAAATAACGCTTATTTAAGCACTAAAACCACAACTTTATTTAAAAAAAAAATGGTCTTTTTTATTACCTGTATTTATAATAAAACTAAAATTCTCATATTTCCCTTTTCCAGTACTCATTTTCTATACGTTTGATTTATTTGCTTCTTTTGTTTGCATATGTTTGGTTTTTATTCTAAGATTAGCTCAGTGCTAAAAAATTTTTTTTGCAAACCGTACTTTTCAAGCGACGTTTGACAGATAGAGGTCGTTGGCTTTCCTATTCTTATTTGAATCGCATAGTATTCATCTCACGAGCATCTGCCCCCACCGGGATTCGAACCCCTCGAGTCTGCGACACCATGAAACCCGGCGTACAAACCTATCGACGGTGGTCGTCGATTTATGTCTATTATTTATAAAGGAATGTGTTTATGACTTCCTATTAAAGACTTTTATATTTCCTATTACTATTTCCGAGTTATTATAAATTAAAACCTCAAGGCTAGTCCCGTCCCCTCTCCCCGTTTCTCTATTCATTAACACTTAGCAGTTAAATGCTTAAAAAAGAAAAACTATAATTGCTATTTCTTCTTTCAAATGTTTATTCCTCTTTGTAAAGGTATTCATCTGACATTGTGGATAACCTACAATGCGAAGAGAGGGCGCTGCCTTGCAGCCTATGAAACACTAGAGAAAATTCGACACGAACATTAGGACCGCGGTAGTATAATTGTCAGTGCATCCGCCCGGATACCGGAGGGTGCGGGTTCGAGTCCCGTCTGCTGCCTGGTCCATGTGGATTGTTATCTAGTAAAATTTTCTAGTTGTTTAAAAATTACAATTAAAGTCTGGTATCAATAAAGATGCCGCGAAGAATTAAATTTGCGTAAAAGGAAGACTATTGGTCACCCTTCTTACGCGTTATTTCGATCTGCCTGTGATCTAGAGAGTCCATAAGAACAATTAAAGGGAAAAGAAAATAAAAACAAAATCAATCGATTTTATTTATTTATTTCAGTTTTCATACCGTACATAGTGTACGTAAAAAACATCGAAAAAAAAACGCTTTAAGTACAAACAATAAATACAAGAGAGACGCAGTACTCAGTCAGATCGTAAAAACGTAAAACTACAGTGTGCATATTATACCAACATGGTATTGGTCATAATGCGAAATTCTCAACAATATAATATGAAGTAATTTAATATTACCACATACAAAACTGATTTTATATCAGTAAAGAGTAGTAATGCGGTTAGTTTCAACTCTATCCTTGTTTTTTTTTGTTAAACCTGTATATTTGTGATGATAGTTAGATTTATTCGGATATAAAATAATGTAGAGGTATATGTTCTGTTGCATCATGAGACGGAACTTTATGCTTTGAAGTTAGTATTTAAGATGGCAGCTTCTAGAAATCAACTGGTAAAAAAGTAAAATGCAGAAATTCATTGTTAATCATCGTAATTTCGTTATAAATTATTATGGTTAAATAAAATGGATTTAAACTTAATATTGGCATTCCGCAGCTAACTTCAGAGTTGCAAGCTTAAAAGATGAGCACTGATACAATAATGTCAAACTATCAAAAATAGCCTGTATTGTCATGACGCAAAGACAACCTTTTGTCTACTAGAAATCATTTCGTTATCTAATTATACTGATATCCTTCAAATTTAAATAGGTTGAAACATTTTATTGGTCGCAGAAAGTAGCAAAATGACCAATACAATATTTATAAACAGACACATATAATTAAAAATATGACAGCGATAATGGCACAGGAGTATAAATAAAATGACGAAATCAAAATCTGACCTCCAATCATGAATATGTATGAACAGCAATAAATTATAAGATAAATCTTAACTAAATGATTTCAAGCCCCCATATTAATAAACGGAAAATAAGAATCTTTTATTATCACTAATGGTGGCATTTGTGCGTCGCAAATTTATTTTTTGTTTAATAATGCGTGGGCAGGAGAACCTTAATACATTGTTAAGAAAACAAATCCATGTTCAATGAACTTTTACTAATAAAATAACTTTACACTTTCTCTTAGAGATCTTAAAATGTTTATAAAATAATATCTCGACAACTTTTTTGTTATATATACCTATGTAAATAAATAGCATTTTTATTTCAAGTATGTATAAAGTTCATTTTATAATAAAAACTTTCTCAAAAGTGAAAAAAAAAAAATGAATATTCATTTGCCTTCTTTACATATTTAGATTATATACATATTATAGTACTTTTATGTCGAGTTTACATGTATTGTTTGAGTAAAAGAAATTCGATGAAATTGCACATATAAGGCACTCATTTCAAAACATAAAATGCAATTGCTATCAGTCCTATATATATAATAAATATTTCCTCTTTTTTATTTAACATCAAAATATCCGTCAAATCATATAATTATTATAAAAGGTTACAACCATTGTTTAACTACAAAATATTAATGTTGGCAAGTAAATTGACTTAACATCTTATAAATGGGTTAAAACAGCTTTGGCAAATTAGTGAGAACTCTTCAGCGGTCACTGAAAAGAAAAACATAAAGTCAAATTAAAAGAATATTGGCTTTCAAATCCTGGACTAGGAGCCAAACAAATCATAGAATGCGTCAGCTACTAATCTTCCTGTGTAAGTAGTACAAGACTAGAATATATTCTGAAACTGCTGTAGGCGATGGGCTGGCAATGTGTCTCTATTGTTTCTGGACATCTAAGACGCCAAACACTATTTTTTATACAGAAAATTCGATCTGCGTATATGAAAGTGAAGTTACTTTCACGATGTCTATTAAAAAGACCCGGCTGCATCTGCAGTCGTTAGTACCCACCAATCCGAACTGGGCCCAAGTGGTGGGTCACGGTCCAATCCCCTTATATCCCCCTTATCGCCACAGTTATGTGTGAGCAAATGCTCATAACTTGACCAAAACTTGGTTCTGATTGCGTCGTTGCTCTCGGGTGTGAGCACTGATTGGTTCGATTGTTTGATGTCGCGTCGTGGGATTGGCTATTATTTATTTGGTGGAAATGTAGAGGAGGCGAGCCGACGATTCCCGTACAAACGATCTACGATCACCCTTTTAACATTTTTCTATGTTCTGTGTTCCATCCACAGGGAAGGCCTATCCCACAGCAGTGGGGACACTAATAGACTGATCGTTAAATATTGAACACTCACCACAAATCTGTTGACTTTGGTCGCAAATGTTTTTGTGACGGTCGACTGCTGGACTTTCATGTTCTCGAATTTCTCCCGCAGACTGAAAAAAAAATACAAAAAAAAAAAATCAGAAATATTTCCTAATTAATCGTATCACTTTGAGATTTGCACAAAAAAAATAACATCTTAATCTTTATATATATAATTCTTCTGTGAGTGTGTATGTCACTGAACTTCTCTTAAACGACTGGACCGATTTTGATGAAATTTTTTCTGTGTGTTCAAGGGGATCTGAGAATGGTTTAGATTCACAATTTTGTCCGCTGGGCAATGTTTTTTTATGGCGGTACGAAGTTCGCTGGGTCAGCTAGTTATGTATACAAGTTCGGCAAATAAATATTAATATTCGAATATAAGTCGCAGACTGATTCGTCAAATGTCTTCCAGTAAAAAAAACGAGTGTGCTGACTGAAGTGAAACTTCTTTAGCTCCATCTGTATATACATATTTCATTTACTAGCTATAGGGAATAAGAGAAAGTAAATGTGCGCGCGCACTGCTTTTTCTTGCTTGTACCCCACACTCAACTCCCGTTCGCCTCGCCCGAACACACATTTCGTAACGCGTAACGCATTCGCAAGCTTCCCCCCCCCCCCCCGCCCCCCTCAAGCGTGCTTAAAGAATGAAAGTTTTTAGGTATCGGTGCAGTATAGGAATTCCACTTACGAATAGTACGACAAAGAAATGAGTCACCAAATTTCTTTGTTCCTGTAGGAATAGTGGCCACTATAATAATAATAATAATATATATGGTATATATAGTATATAATTTATAATATGTCATCATCATCATCATCAGCCTATTGATGTCCCCACTGCTGGGGCACAGGCCTTCCCTATGGATGGAATAGGGAGATTGGGCCATGACCCACCACGCGGGCCTAGTGCGGATTGGTGGGTGCTAACGACTGCAAATGCAGCCGGAACCATCGACTTAACGTGCCTTCCGAAGCACGGAGGAGCTCGAGATAGTAAATTTTTGGTCACCCATCCAATGACCGACCACTGCGAAAGTTGCTTAACTTCAACGATCGCAGCCGAACGCGCTAGCCACCTGCGCCATCGAGCTCCTATAATATGTACAATAGTGGTTTTATAGTAATCACCTTTTAGCGGTCTCCAGCTGGGATTCCCCGTCGTCGTCGCGCGGTATCTGTACGCCAGAAGGGCTGCGAGCCGTTTCGCTCTCAGACCAATTCTCGAAGCGATCACGGAAGCTCTTCGTGCGAGCTAATTGTTGAGC